AATATCTTTGGAAAGGTGCAACCAGAAAGATTCAACATAAGATTAGTTTTAAGTTCTAAGCTTCTTACCTTTAAGTTTTTCTTTTCCATTATCTAAGATATTATTGTTCTCTTTAATTTTTATTTTCAGGCTCTCTACAATGTCATTGAAGGTTAAGTCAATTTTTGTATTGTTTTCTCTGACTGTATTGTATTCCTTGTTTCAATGTTTTAAAAGTAAATGACTGTTTAACTTATGTGTGACTTTATATAATTATGTACATGTGAGATGAAGATGATTAGTGCATACATGAATTCCCTATGGAGATGAAGAAGATAAGTGTAAGTGCTTGAAACAAGAATTTGTTACAACAATGGAAAATTTGAAGTTTATGTCAGAACAGAAACTGAAACAAACAATTCGGGATTTTTTTAATTTATCTAGCAGTATAAAGAAAAGAGGGAAGAAAAGAAAAGTCACAAACCTTATTGAGGAAATAATTTTATTTTGCTGTTTACTTTCTAATGGGCATTTCCATTTCCTTGAAATGTTATTTTTATTTTATACTGAAATTTTCACTTATCTTTCTTTGAAATCGTCATTATCAATTCATCAGTTAATTGGGCATTAAGTACAATTCTATGTGGGCTCTTCAAATAAGTTTTCAGTTTCAGTTTTATTAGCTTCAAGTGTTTTGGGTTAAGAATAAAATAAAGAGAAAAATTTACTCAGGATACTTTTCTTTAAGTACAGCTGTTTATTTAAAAATATTCAACTGGACAACTGTTCTAATTTTAAGGATCTGTGAAATAACAGAAAGAAATAGTTTGTCCAGTCAGCAATGAATGTTGTGAGAGCCACTTAACATAACATACATATAAGTTACTTTAATCAAAGCGCGAAAGCGCTGTAAAGGCAGTTAATTACAGGTTGTGTGTATTTTTAGTCCAGTTATATCATTATCTTGCATAGTACATTGTACTTATCAGAGGTGGCTTTCAGTATTTAAGATTTAGAGTTCTCTAATGATATTGAACAAGTTTTATGAATGTCATATTTTGAGCACTATATGAAGGCGATTGTTCTCACTTGTTTATGAACTAGTGCATTATGTCCACTTTGTACCTTTTTTTATCTATGTTTATAGTCAAATACTGTTTAAAATAGTTTGGCATTTTCTTTTTAGTAATAAGTAAATGTTATCAACTGTATTTTAATCAACTTCGCAAATGTGGTTTGTTACTGGTAGGTACAATGTATGGATGATAGTTGTTTCATTGGCAATCATAACACATCTCCTTATTTATATAAAATGATCTATATTCAACGACCTCAGGTACAAAAAAAATGTATGTAACTAAACTATGATGGGAAACCTTTGACTTCTTTCTTTTATATAAACTTTTGATTTGGTACCATAGAACTATGTAGAATAAATGTACATTGCAACATGTCAACTCTTTCAATGACAATACTTTTTTTAGAAACTATAACTCCAAGCAAAATTATATTTCCAAGTATAAAGTAATTTATGAATGAAACAAGAGTGCACACGCTGAAATGTCTCGCCATCTTTACTAATCATTGATATTATGTTGATAGTCCTAAATATAAAGCTTTATTACAACTGTCACATAAACTTAGCATTAACCAAGTAAACTAAACATTGACCAATGAACCAAGATAATGATGTCAAGGTCAGATGAACCATGCTAGGCAGGCATGTACAGCTAACAATTCTTCCATACAACAAATATAGTTGACCTATTGCTTATAGTTTAAGAAAAACAGACCAAAACACAAAAACTTAAAACTGAGCAATGAACCTTGAAAATGAGGTCAAGGTAAAAAAAAACCTGCGTGACTGACAAATAGATCATAAAGAATTTCCATACACCAAATATAGTTGAACTATTGCATATAGTATTAGAAAAAAAGACCAAAACTCAAAAACTTAACTTTGACCACTGAACCATGAAAATGAGGTCAAGTCAGATGACACCTGCCAGTTAGACATGTACACCTTACAATCATTCCATACACCAAATATAGTAGACCTATTGCATACAGTATAAGAAAAACAGACCAAAACACAAAAACTTAACTATAACCACTGAACCATGAAAATGAGGTCAAGGTCAGATAACACCTGCCAGTTGGACAGTCCTTCCATACACCGAATATACTAGACCTATTGCTTATAGTATCTGAGATATGGACTTGACCACCAAAACTTAAACTTGTTCACTGATCCATGAAATGAGGTCGAGGTCAAGTGAAAACTGTCTGACGGGCATGAGGACCTTGCAAGGTACGCACATACCAAATATAGTTATCCTATTACTTATAATAAGAGAGAATTTAACATTACAAAAAATCTCAACTTTTTTTCAAGTAGTCACTGAACCATGAAAATGAGGTCAAGGACATTGGACATGTGACTGACGGAAACTTTGTAACATGAGGCATCCATATACAAAGTATGAAGCATCCAGACCTTCCACCTTCTAAAATATAAAGCTTTTAAGAAGTTAGCTAACGCTGCCGCCGGATCACTATCCCTATATCGAGCTTTCTGCGTTAAAAGTCACAGGCTCGACAAAAAGGAGTTCTTAATTAAGAAATAAACTGATTTGCTGAGTGCAGCTGGATACACCTGCAGAGGTCCAACCCTGAACAGTTGGGGCAAAAATGGACACAATATTCAAGCTTGATACAAGTCTGAATTTGGATTGTAATTAAATATTTGACATATTATAGTTTCTGAATAAATGTAGTCAAAGAACTTGAAATTGGTTATATGAATTGAATTTATATTCAATTAAAGATTTCTTGCTGTTGTGCAATACACTGTGCTGTTGCGCAATACTTAATAAATCTGTTGCCAGACTATAAACAAATAAAGTTCAATTTCTTCTCAATGTCATATTTGAAATTTAGGAAAATCAATAGGGAGATTACATCAATAGCGATAAATAATTCAACAAAGTTTCATGCGAACTGCTTAAAGCATTTTTGAGTTGTTGTCCAAAAACTGGAAAATCCCCCCTTTTTTAATGAATAAAACCCCATAACTCAGAAATGTAATATCTAAAATTTATAAAATTCTAAAGGGAGCTTACGGATTGATAATTTAGTCTTAGATGCAAGATTTTTTTATCAGTTGTTAGTGGCTTTGAACTAGCTGTCAGTAAATGCGAGTACTCTCAGATCTGTACTTAGTGTCTTTTTGTTGTTTGGATGTACAACTACCGGGCCACGTCCACTTGTATTTGTATTTATCCATCTGATGAGTTAAGCCTCTTTCAACTGATTTTTTATCGTTCGTTCTTATATTGTACTGTTACACCACTGTCCCAGGTTAGGGGGTGGGTTGGGATCCCCTAACATGTTTAACCCCGCCACATTCTGTATGTACACGTATGTGCCTGTCCCAAGTCAGGAGCCTGTAATTCAGTGGTTGTCGTTTGTTGATGTGTTGCATATTTGTTATTCGTTCATTTTTTGTACATAAATTAGGCCGTTAGTTTTCTTGTTTGAATTGTTTTACATTGTCATTTCGGGGCCTTTTATAGCTCACTGTGCGGTATGTGCTTTGCTCATTGTTGAAGGCCGTACTGTGACCTATAGCTGTTAATTTCTGTGTCATTTGGTCTCTTGTGGAGAGTTGTCTCATTGGCAATCATACCACATCTTCTTTTTTATATTTACATCAACAGATATAAACAATTCACCAAAGTCAAACTTAGTTGTAAGATCTCTGAAATTTTTTACACGGTACAAGTTTTTCTAATTGTTGGAGATTGTACGGTGACAGTAACACCTGTAACTGCTTAACCCATTTCTTATGCACTTTGGTTCGATAAACTCACTGAATATCATACCACATCTCCTTATTTTTATATGCATTACAATTTACATGTGCATGTAATTGTAAATAATATTTATATATATATATATCAGAACAAACTTCATTGTGTCACTTTTATTCATGCATCCTTTGGCACAATAAAAGTTCTAAAATTACACAACATAAAACAACTAAATGTTATTTCAGATGAAAGTTTTGTTTCAGTTCCATTCATAGGATTTATTAGAATTTTGTATGTTTTGCCAAGTCCAATAATTAGCTCTATGTGCACGTGTTAAATGGAGACTTTTCTATCCCATATAAGAGTTTTGGAACTAATTCTGTTTCTTTTTTTGAAAAAAGTGAGCAAACAAATCTTGCACATTTAAACCTTTGTCTGCCATCACACTGTCACCTGGATCACATAATTGAACTATTCTACATCTTTCAACTATTTCACAGTTACTGGTACAACCAACATATGCATTAGAGACATAGTTGACTAAACCACCAGGTGTCGAACATACAAGTATTTTCAGTGTTTCTGTTTTTATATGATGAAAAGGTTGCCTGAGCTCTAGGAGTTTTAGGTTTTATCACGGGATATTCTGTGCTGTCAATAATAATCCAAGTTGTAGGAAACTTTAATTTGAAGTTGGATGGTGAAAAATACCTAACTAAAGCACTTAATTGCCAAGTGTTAGCCTCACGCCACTGTTTAGACATAAAAACAATCCATGTTTACACAATATTCTTAACACTAGTTTCAATCTAGAATCTAGACAGTTCAAAGTTGGTTGTATAATGCCTCAATTTCATCAAAGTCATAAAAAAACTGATTTTCAAATGACACCCTATCAATTTGAAAATATATGTATCTCAAACAATGTGCTGCTGGACCAAGTGTGGTGAAAACAAATAAAAATTTAGTATACAACTCTAAACCGGTATAAAAATGCATGGCTGTGTCACGTGTCTTCATTTCAAAATTCTCTGCTGAAAATATAGGCATTGATGGTGTTTGCGTAATTCCATCTGTGAAGCTCAACATTAGCTCGGCAGTTGGTGGTGGATAGTCATTAATCCTGTCTGCAGTATGAATGACTTCTTCAGGAAAACCAACTTTACAATCAAAACTTTCCTCTAGATTTCTACTACAATATTCATCAAGTTTAGTTCTTTTGTTTTCACAGGAAACTGCCCTGATTTTTCTTTTTGCGGACGATTCAGTCTCTTGCTTAATCCAGGAAAATAGGCTGGGAATGGCAGTAGACTTAAGTCTCTGTATGGTGGGTTTGCGCCCTGAAAAAGGTTATAAAACATTAGTTTTTTGATAATTAAATGAACTTCCATTAGCAATGCATACTTTGTTCTACCTGGCAAAATATTAACTAGATTTATTCATTACAATCTGGATAAAACTATGTTAGCCTGAATCAATGTACATCAAAATGTATGTTATGTAAATCCAAAGTAAGTAAGTAAGTAAAACTTTATTTTGATTCGGCATATTGACAAACATACAAACATAAGCTCTAATGAGGACGAACAATGAGAGACGTATGCAACAAACATACATTGTTTGTACCTAAATAACTATAATATAGATGAGAGCATGTCATTATTTTGTTCCTGTTAACATTGTCATTGATATTTTTCAAGAAAGTCTATGAGGCATAGCTTATGCATTCCTGTCATTACTACATTAGCATAATTACTGCTAAAATAATTCTCAGTATGATATACCTCTTGTAAGAAATCATTATAATTGTAGCAAGCACCAAAAAATCTCAAGCAGATCACATTGAATCGTAATCAAAAAAATTATGACGTCTTGAATTAACCACCCCCTTTTATTCTAAAACGATAATTGCGGTTGTAAACAAACTTTGGTTTATTCGCATGGCGATTACATATGTAATTATATATTTTAAAAAGAAAAGAGAGTTTTACCATGAATAGTTTCCTGCACGTAGTCTTTTTCAGTAAAATGTGCCTTGCAAACAACAGCTGATTGAGATGGACTCCACGATTTCATCGTGTTCTCGTCCAATCTGCGTATGGGCCATGGCGTTGATCCAACTTTTCCTTCTTTTTAAGTCATTTGGAAATGCATGTCCTCCTCTTAAATGACATCCAGGTACACAACAACATGTACTTGGCCTCGTTAATTAAAAATGCAACTGTAATAGTTGCACAGTGCAGAAACCGGAAGTTGAAGAACAGGATCGGCTACCACGGCGCCACCTATTCAGGAACGATAATTTGCTACTTTATATAACCGCGAAATAACAATTACGTTAGACGGGTTCGCGTGCATAAACAGAAATGCGCTTTAAATTGTATAACATAATTCATGTTCAGTCGACCTTTAATTATTATATCAACGACTGAAATGATTTATAAACATCTAGATTGCAGATAACACTCGAAATTAACCCGACCTCTTTCCACACGGAATTCAAATAATTCTAGTTTGTCAATCGGTTGACTGCTTATAATGTAAAATACAAATATATCAAAAGTTTTTAAAACTAACAAAACACAATGATCGTTTCTCTATTTCCCAATGTAAATGAAATGAAACAAAAAACATTTTATATCACAATAAGAAGAGGAGAGAATCAACATTTTCCGGATCTACTTGGAGCCTAATGACCCCCCACGTAGATAAGTTGGATATCGCGGAAAGAAAGATTAACACGGCAACTAGAAAGGCATTAAAGCACTGCCTTTAAAAATCATTAATGTCTTTTTGACACCCAGTATAATTCATCAGATTAAGTCAAAATAAATGCAAAAAGAAGTGATAGGGTCCAGCTTATTAAGGTCAACTGGTCTTTCTTGGTGCAAGTCATCAAATAGAATGTAACGTTCTCAAAATCCTTTCAAAAAAGCAACTGTGCCATAAATACCACAAATGTTTTTTTATGAAAATGTAGTTTTAAAATTATATATTTTGCTGCTGTCATCCAACGAAATTATTATCTGTTTCATTTCATATAGAGGATGTAGAGCATAGACAAGTATTAAAAGGTGTCCTGTAATCACATATAACTGTTTTTTCCCCTCTTTTTTAATCATTGTTTTGTCATCTGAATGATCACCTGTAGATATAATATAGTCAAATGAAAAGTGACTATGTTCTAAGTTCTTACCTGTATTGTGCATGTGTACTACTATTGTGGTAATGTTTGTCATACCGTAAATCAATTTAAATGCATTGAAAAAGACTGAAATCAGGGTTTGAAATTCTGGTTAAGAGCAATCATAGTTTCTGCAAGAAAAGCAAAATGGATAAAAATAATCTTTCAAGAGCAGTAATTTCTATAAGAGTCAATTGATCCTTTCGACCATGATGAGTTACTTGTAGGACTTATTTTGGAGAAGTTTTTTGCTAATTACAATTTCTCTATAAGTTTCATTACATTTGGTTGTGGCAAAGTAAAGTTAGAGAACAGAAACTAAATTTGGGACTATGGATGTACAGACGGACAAGGATAGAACTTAATGCCTCCTCCGCCATGGCAATGGCATAAAAAAGTGTTAAAGATGTGGACAAGAACCTAGAATTGAGAAAACTTTTTTGTCACATCCCCTTGCCCCTTAAAACATTCTGAAGGTTGTCTCTCTTAACATAAACTGAAAACCCTTGTAGGCAAAGAAAGATTAAAACATGTTGTTCCTTATTTTTTTATTAGTTGGTTAATAGACAATATATACAGGGTACTTGTCACTGCATGACATGGTTGGGTGATTATATTTACTACAACTGGAAGATTCTGGGATTTATGTTCTGTAAAACTATACCTTCAGATAAAACAATCAATTTATCTACATATAGTCCAGCTCTATGGCTTTCAAACTCTGACCTGAAAAACATACTATGATAAAGGGAAAAGGCAATGGACATTTAAAACTTTAAATAACTATACTGATTTCTTTTTTCATTTCTAACAAATTGGTGATTTCCACTTATATTCATTTTCAACCTTATTGATCACAACATCAATTACTGCTGCTCATAGGAGACATAATTCAGTAATATTAGGAAAACTTTTTCAAACTAACAATATTAATATGGTTCTTCAGGAAAATTTAGAAAAAAACAACTGTTTTTATGTTAAATTCATGAAACAAATGTTATAACAGCTTGATATATATATATTATATATATATATATATATATATATTCCACCACTGCAACAAGTGTGTTACAGTATTTCTCTGCTCGAGAGTTAAATTCTAAAATTTAAAACTCGAGGCTAGCCGAGCTTTTTAAATATTTAAAATTAAACTGTTGAGAGTGGAGAAATATCGTAATACATTAGATATAGTAGTGGAATCTGTTTCTCTAATGATTTTATCCTTCCTTTTCAAAGATTTCAGAAAGTTGTGTTCTTTATATGTATGGTTGAGAAATGTTTTTCTCACACTGATTGAGAAATGTGAAAATAGCATGAAAATTAGAGATATATAATGGTTACTTGACAAAAATTGAAGGCTAAGGCATTCACTATCTGGATTTATTAGAACCATGAAAATGTTGCCTTTTCCCTGATAAAATTTAAGCCATTCCTTTTCCCCCTTTCTTTCTTATTTACTATAAAGGTGTTTTATATTTGCTGGTTTGATTTGAAAACAGAATCAAAGGTATAACTTGACAGCACATATCAACATGAAGAATATAAACTTGATAACTTATTTCAACAACAATTCTACAAACAAATTGTTTTCTATACAGAACAGAAACTTTTTCACTGGACACAGTTTTCAACATAAAAAAACAATTTCTCATTAAAACTGCCACAAATATGATGACATAGAGCTGCATATTGTTTGAAAATGCAATGAAAATGAAATGTTTACATGTTTTGACATAGTGATATGCCTTTCCTGCTTTACAATAAAACTAAAGACAACTATTTGATGGTTGTTTCAGGTTATGTCACATTTTTTAACTATTCCAGAAAAAAATTAAACAGGTTAGAATGGAACTTAAAAGGTGAGAAAAATAATTATTGAATTAGAAAATTTAAAGTTGGTGTATAAAACGTTTTAGAGTAAATCCAAGGGAGATAATTCTTTCCTCTCACAGAGACCTATCATTGGTGCCTTGGAAGGTAAAATGTACAAAGGTATTTATCGTCATACATAAAATTCTATGGCTTTTTAGAGTAACTGCAAGGGAGATAATTCTTTCCTCTCACAGAGACCTATCATTGGTGCCTTGGCAGGTAAAATGTACAAAGGTATTTATCGTCATACATATAATTCTATGGCTTATTAGAGTAACTGCAAGGGAGATAATTCTTTCCTCTCAAAGAGACCTATCATTGGTGCCTTGGAGGGTAAAATGAAACAAGATATTTATCATTATAAATAAAATTCTATGGTGAATAATATTACTTTTCTAAACATTACTATCACATATTATGCCATATCAAAGCATTTCCTGCCATTAACTGGTTTGAAAATAAATACATACATGCTTAAAACTATAAACAAGAATTCTTATAAATATATCAATATTAGTGTGGATTCATTATAATTCGTTGGGGAACTAATTTTGGTTGATTTTGAGGGTTAAGGTGATCCATGAAATTAAATGTTTAACAAATTACAAACTTCCTATAGATGTGGAGGCACAATTTAAAGCCAGGAAACAGCATACCTTTGTCTCGCTTTTTGACTTAGTCAAGGTGACTCAAAAACTACAATCATCTACAAAATTTTTCATGAATCCAGGAAAATTGGAAACACACCATTATTAACGAATTCATTATATACTAAAACTATTCATGCCTATGTGTTGTTGGATACATATCCGTGCTGTGAGGTAGGTTTATAAGAATACCTGGTTAGTCCTCTAGAAAAGTAGAATAAAATACACTAGTAGAAAGTGTCAGGATAAGTCTATTCCAACCCCAATCCCTATTTTTTCTGAAATAGTTAAAATTGTAAAAACTTTTAGTAATATTAATTTTTCATCCTAAGTAACAAAGACCATAAGCGAGCTAAAATTATATAACTTAAAACTACAAATACAAAATTTTATTGGTAGTTTGTATTTGTTGTTTTACTTTATGTTTTGTAACTTGTTCAGGACCTTTTTATTGTAAAATCATGATTCATGCTAAAAGCCACATTGCAACTTCACTGTTTTGCTATTACAGATAAAAGATTATCACAGTTGCTTTTATGTAAATAATATTTACACTTATAATTCTAACATAACATATAGATGAATTATAAACTGAAATGAATGGAGAAAAAACAATGATATGTCACACTATCACTCTCAAGAAATATTAGTTAACAATACAATCTATCTTTTACCCATTAATAGACATCAGTTGTACAATACAATCATTCTTTTAATCAATCTAAACAGTGAAAATTTACTGTGGTATTTTAACATCTGATATTGCAATGGGGACTACTTTTCTTGGCACAAACAGACTAGTTTATACAAAAATTAAATGAACATATTGCACGAGACATCAAAACCACTGAAATCAACAGACAAAAAAACATCACAACACAAAAATTTGTAATTTTGATTTTTGAAACATTTTTATCTTTACAATCAGAATTTCTTAACTAAGGATCTATTCATTTTTGAAAGTACAATATAAATTCATTATTCCTTTGGTTTAACATAGAAAATAAATAAAATGCTTTACAAGGTTCTATAGACTTTGATATCTGAGATTTTAGCAATCATTGTGACAGGTTTTATACATTAACATCAATTGAGTATACAAAAACTATATGACCTAGCCATGAAAGACAAAATCATTAAAATGTAGAATATGTAAGACAAACCTGATTGCAAACAACCAAAATGTCTGAGAATTAAACAGCTTGAAATTAGTTTGTATTCATGAAAAAGATAGTTGTTTAAAGCCATTTTCATAAAAAGGAAGAAACTTTTTTCATAAGAGGACTTGAGAACTGTCATCATTTGGCCTGCTAAATAAAAAAATAAAATAAAAAGTATTCTTTCCTTTTCCAAACTTATCTCTTTATTACCAAGTAAAATCAAAAAAAAATTTAGCCACTTCAAAGCAAAAAATATAATGTTATAATTATCATTTTTTGCCAAAATAAAAATGCATAGTCTTTTTGTAAAATCAAATAAAACAAGATGTACTGTGAGCTCACTAGCTATACAGAATCATGTTGCTGACTCTAATTTGTTATTTTTGTAGTAAATATGTTAATCAATCAAATTTTGCAATAGGTTTCATAAATCAAGAAGCTATGACTTGAAGTTGCTTGAGTAGAACATCAAAAGAACTGATATTTTCTGTATAATTATTGTTAAATATTTTCTTTGTTTAAAGAGATTAAAAGATTCATTTTTATAAAATCCACATCCAATGCCTTAATTTGGTTTTGATTTCATGCAAGTTAGACACCCTTTTCAAAAAGAAATAATTATTCAGTTTAAAAAGAAAATTTTCCACACAAATTTGTTATCAAATTGGACATTCATTTCTTTAAGCTCAATGAGAGGACTGACAGTATTTATTTCTAAAAAAGTTTTTCCTTTTGTATGACTTCCTTTGAATGAAAATACATTATTTGTATTCTGAAAGACAAATTGTCTCGTTAAAAACTCAAAAGGTTCCAAGCAGTAAGTTAACAACACTTTCCAACCTTAACATGCCAGGCAAAAAAAATAGAAACATGATGCTCTCCGTGTTATTGTGTTAAATACTCTAAATTCACAAATTTTTGCTATTTTTTATTATTGTAAAAATTGTGAAGGCATAGGTTTTTGAAAAAAAAATCTTATTTCATATTTTGATAGCCTCATTTCTATGCAGCATTTCCAGAAATAAGATACTTCACTGTTATTGCAGCCATATTGAATAGGGGCAGATTTTTTGGATAGAGGTGGAAATAGTAAGAAAGTACATGATGCATGTTTCCAAGCAACTGTTCTGTTTAAATGATGTTTTCCCGTATTTTTCACCTTCATTATGAAAATCTGCACCCTTTTCAATGTATAGAGAATAATACATGGCAAAATCTGTATCATATGCCGTATCATCCCGAGATACCAATATCAGCCTGAGGGATGATATTGGTCGAGGGTGATACGGATTTTGCCATGTTTTATATGCTTAATCATATATTTAAACAGGAGAGTATAAATGAACTGCTCTCTGATCCCTAGCACCTGGGTTACCTTCAGATTTACTTTTGTCTTGTTTTAAAAGCTTTAAAAGAACTGCTTAATTATTCATCCGAAGCACCTGGGTTACCTTACAATTCGCGTCCTGTTGTTCATAGAAATATTTTGTTTATTGTATTTTTTTATGTTTTGTATGGTATTTCATTGAGTTCTTTTTTATAGTTGCATTTCGTGTGCCAGAAAATATGAAAGCTCCACGTCTGTGTCGTCACATGCCAAACAATGACGTCATTTGATAAATGATGTCACGCTCTAATGACCGTTTCATTTAGGACCCATTGAGGAAAAATATTTCTTGAGAAGCTTGCATAAATTAAAACATGGACTTCATGTAAATTTAGTCGGAATCACTACTGTCATAAATGAGAAATTTGAGTAGGGGTGTGATAAAGGGTGCACATCAAAGTTGAGCGATACAGATTATACAGCAGGCTATTTATCAAATATTCAAAACTACTGTATTTACTTCTAAATATATGATAAAGCTGCAATAACCATGAAAGGGCCTATTGCAAGAATTATTCTTAAATTTGCATCCATTGTTTAACAGTTGCAATAATAAAAATATGCACAACAATTTATGAATTTACAGTATACATGTATCTGAAATGATATTACTACTGCAATGTTACTGATGTGTATGAGGAGTCCATAGTTTACTCATAATGAAACTAAATGAATAATATTGTCTTCCATGCATGAAATTAGTAACCCAAGTGTTAAGTCTTTCGGTATTAAAATACATTGAAAAGTTAAGCTTTTGTTTGTGTACACATACCCCATAAAATGTAAAGATAACAAAAAAAAATTATTACCCTTTGAAAAAATATTAAAACAGTCATTTAAAAATAAAACTATCTAAAATATAAGTAAATAAATGCAACTCTATAAACATGTATAAAAATAAATAGTATTAACAAATGGATATAAAATAGATTTTTAAACTAGACTAAGAAATCAATGGACGGAATGCATCATCAATCAATTTGTAATTAAACAGGACACAGGACATGTTTGTACACACAGTACAGGAAACAGTAAATTAAATACAAGCAGTCTAAATATAAATATTCAGCAGTATTTTTTTGTTCAAACATCTAAATTTTGGCAAATAAAAAGTTCAGGTCATTAGCCAATGATGTTGTCATACCAATCACATAGATTTTGTGTATACTTTTAGAAAATACATCTGGTTCTGAAGTGATATTTTCTAACATATAAAGACTTCGTTGGTAATGACTTTCTATTAACAATTATTTAAAGGAATTGAGATCTAAAGAAATACAATGTCTGTGGTCACTTCACATTGCTCTGGAAAGGCTTTTATCCAATGATGACAATGGCTTTGGAAGGCACATCATATTTAATCACTTATTAAATTATTTTTTATAACTTTTGCTAAAAAATATTGAATTATTTTGTATGGCTTTAGCTTAGAAATTTTAAAATATTTTTGTATGGCTTTTAATAGAAAATATTAAATTATTTTTTATGGCTTTTGCTAAAAAAACATATAACTTAATAACAAAAGAAAGAATAGTGTAAATTCAACAGGAATGGCTAAAATTCAAAATATTGAATATATGACGAAATATTCACTGGGTAAAATGTTGTCAATGTACAAATGTTAATAATAAATTTTTAAATATTAACTTAGTTTATCAACAATTAAATCAACAAATTAAAAAAAAACAAGAAAACAATATCACAATTTTGAAACATCATCCTTCACTTTCTTTACTAGAATATTCTGCTAAATGTAACAATGACGTTGTTGATGAGGATCTAGGTGGGTCTTTCTTTTTGCCTGGTGACCCTTGACGTTTGTGGTGTTTTTTGGACTTTTTAGGTGATTTTTTCGGCGACTTTACAGGACTTTCTGCTCCTTTAGAGTCTGAGTCATGACTAGCAATTTCCTCTTCTGTCTCAAATTTTGGCACAATCCATGATTTTTTCGGTCCTTCCCCCACACTAAAAAGATCTGAATGTTCACTACCTGAAGCATCTTTATCACTATCACTTTTGACTAAAATCACTTTATCCTCCCTTGCAGTACTTTTTGTTACATCTAAATCAGTACTTTTAGAGAGATCTTCCCCTGTGTTAGTACTTTTTTTCTTGGTGTCCATATCACTACTACTTGATTCATCAGCGGACTTCACCTCATACAATGGAGAAATTTTATTGACTGTTAAAGTACGTAACGATGGTTTTGGGCTAGATTTTGGAGTACCAGGTGGTTTTTTGACAAATTTTTGAAATGTTCTAGGTTTGCCATTAGGTATGGCTGCACCATTACTTTTAATGTTATTTTCTTTGTCAGTTTGACCTGATTTTTCTATAACATTAGCGTCTGTCACTAATGCTTTCCCCTTTGTCAAATCTATGTCTTTTGTCCATGCTAACTGTTGGATTGCTGCAGCAAATGACTGATTGTTATCATCATCACTAGAATCTCCATCATCATGAGATCTTTTAGGCGCTGGTTTAAGTATAATTGGACCAATAGAGCCTTTAGCTCTCTGCACTTTCATCTGTCTAACAACTTCCTTACCAACTCTCTGTAAAACAGAAGACAATTTCATTTAAATATAAAATTAAACTACAACTAAATATTTTTTTCTTCAATTCTATCTGTTATGTGCTTGGGCCACAAAACAGCATTAAAATATAGGTCAAAGGATAAAAAGTTATATTTCTGACACCAAAATGGCGAGGTCACATGAAGGTCATAACGAAAGACAAGTTTGCTGACTTTATTATAATTCTATGTATAAAATCAACCCATAGGGTCTTGTAAAAAGGGTATTCATTATTATATGTCTATAAAACCTATTCAGCATGAACTGTACATGTCACTTAGTTTCAGAGAAGGGATTTCATGACAGAAATGTTAAAGAAACCAAATTGATAAAGGAAGCTTACATATTTTGGAGAGTTAATGACAGGCCTTACATATACATGTTCTTTGTAGTCTACATGACACAAGAGTTAAGTAATTCAGCAAAAAGAATTCAAATGGTCTTGTCAACAAAATCGTCCACATGACACATACAATGCTCTGCAATACTGGTAATAAAAAGTTCTACCAAGAAATCTAATGAAAGATTTGACATCACAATCCATATAAACAAAAGGATAATCGATTGATTCTTCTTGTTTGCTTAAGGTCCAGTGGCAAATATTTCATGCATATTAAGGACAACGAACATAAAGAAATAAGCATTATCTGCAAAATGAGACAGAAACCTAACAACAACCAAAAATCAACAAAGGACATCTAAAGATATAAATAAATGGAGATATGGAATTATTTCTTCTTTCCTCAATCGATGGGTGTCTATACAGTATTTTAAACTCTGAATCAACCAAAGTCAATATTTGGTAGATACAATAAATCAAGCTCTAAATTGCCTTAAAAAAGTAGTTTTCACATTACATTTAACCCATTCTGACAATAAAAGTTCAATAACCTGTCATTTGGGGAAAATAATCAAAAAATTTATATATATATTATATTTTGCAAAATTCAGATACTCTAACTTGCAAAGGATCAAACCATGTGCTGTATATGCATAAATTTTTTTTAAATCTGAACGAATTTTAACAATCTATACCTACTTTTGAAAAAAAAAACTAATATCCTGATATCTTAAGTCCATGCACAAATTTTCTTTCTGAATGAAAAACTTTCTGTTTGAAAACAAACCATGTACCCTACATCATGATAAGTGTAAAGTAATATGCCTTCTTACTTTCCATCACATGGTCATATTAACTATACAGGCATAGGACTAATGAACTACATATGTTAGTGTCAAGCCCTGTCAATTAATGCTTTACAGATATTGCATTTTTCTAAGGAAGATAAAAAAAAACAGGGCATTCAATGAAGCTTACTATTTTTCTTAGGATAAACATGCATTCTGGAATAATTTTGTCCAGTGTTTTCTAGTAATGTTCAAATACAATACTTTTACTCTGTGATGACTTTGATTACCTAGCAACTGTTAGTCATTACTTGATATAATTGTTACATTAAAAACAATTACATACAAGATACTGTACAATTATTATCTGGCATAGTGGTAAATAAACCAATAGTATTCACAGTTTAATTTGAGATATGGAATGTTCCAAAGAAAAGCATGAGGTTACTGCAGAGAAAATGTTTTGACTATGGCAAGTTACTCTTATGCATGGATAAATACTAAATTGTATAATTAGATTTATATTAAAATTTACAAATACTAAATCAATATTAGCAATATTTTTTATTGAAAAACTTTTTTAATTTATTGAAACACAAGTTTATGAAGCAATAACCTAATACATTCAATCAAAATCTTAAAACTACAAGTGCTTTGGACATTGATTTAGATTCATCTAGAGTCCTAACTCTCCAATTTCTCTTCTCTGAAAACATAATATGAAACCCTTTGCACCTTTAATTCATAATCATAGTAAAATTAACTATTAAAAAGGTGCGCGGCAATGTTTTTGTAGTTTTTAAAAAGGAGTTCAACACAAAACTTACATAGTATAAAAAAAGGTAGATAAGTTTGATCTAGCATAAAATGTAGGTCACAGCAACAACAATGTTGCTGAGCAGCCTTGTATCAACCAATAAAATTGTAAAAGTGAAATATTACCTATATATTGATATAATTTTTTTTTAAATTGACTTTATTAAAAAACTTAACCAAGTTACTGAACCATTAAAATGCAGGTTATGGTGATTTAAATGTTGCTGTATAGCACTGTTGTCGTGTCATTACCACAGAAGTTGCCAAAATCAGAATATATATATGATATATAATTGTATATCATGATGCCTCACCAACATTTATTCATTTAATGGAGAAACTGAAAATACCTTTAAGTTTTGAGAAAACAATGAAGATAAATTATCTTCCTTAGAGAAGTTTGAATACACATAAAAACAAGAGAGAGTCAAAAACTAGAATAGATTAAATCTGTGTCTTAGACACCTGTGCTTCAAACCCAATGAAAGCAATATTAAATGTCAATTAAATCTACTGAAAAAATAGTGCATTTGAAAAAAAAATCTATTGCTTAAAATCAAGTTTTCTATGGCCAACTGTAAGCTAAATAAAACCTCTAAGATACACAATCAAATTCTCCAAAAAATCTTTTAGAAACAAACCATGATATGCATTACAACAAATATTTATAAATCCTAAAAAAATTCTTATTCGTTTACTATAATGCGTGAATATTTTAAATAGAGTTTTTGTTGTTTGTATGAATGTTTGTAACCCTTAGTATATATACTGATACTTATTAGGGTAGAGACAGACTGTGCTTATATAAGTACATATAAGTGACACCTTTATAAGTATGTATATCAACAACACATGAAGAAAGTCAATAATAAAAAAAAATTATAAAAGGTTCCGCGAAACCCTGAGCCTCGCCTGCGATTGCTGCTGTCAGTTTAAAAGTGTAATGTTGACTTAAAAAGTGAGTATATTTATCAGTAAAATACAGAATTAAAAAAATATCAAACTTTTGCTTTAGATGCTATTCCATGGTCTTAAATATTAGCTTCTGTCCAAATTTCCTAAAATATCATGAAGGTTTGACAAAGTTATTGATGTCCAAAAAAACTTTAACCTCAGACTGTATCTTCTTGTTTACTTTAAAAAAAACAAAGTCCATTTATCAGTAAAATATTGAAAAAATAAAAATAAATATTTTCAAATTTTTGCCCTTGATATTGTATTTTGGTCATAAACAAGCTTCTGTCCAAATTTCCTAAAATTCCATGAAGGTTTGACAAAGTTATTGATGTCCAAAAAAACTTTAACCAGACTGAACCTAAATGTTGATGCCACCCGCAGACGGAATCGCTATGTCTCGCTTTTGCGGCTTGAAAATAATGAAATGAAAACGTTTGAGTAGATCCCAAGAATGTCCTATCCAAATACTCTATCATGCCCAAAAATTAAATCATAATGAAATGAAAATCGTAGCTCAAAAACGGCTGTACTGTTCACATGGAACCTATGGCAGGTTTCACAGAAAAAGTTTCAATTATGTTTCAGATAAAAAAACATAGTTTACATTTAGCACCAAAGTTACTTGCATTTTCCATAAAATTGAACTCCTAGATCTGTTGAACACAAATTCTATAACAAATATCACTCCCCCTCCCTATAAAGAAGATTTTGTATATGACAAATACCAAATGATAGTTTAAGCTCACACTTATCCAATGTGTGAGGTGAGGAAAAAGAACACTGGTCTGTAAATACTTATTCCACAAAACAATTTCATACATAATGAGTATCAATCCCAGAAATAAGTTGAAAAGAAAGTTCACAATCAAATATAAGAGATAACATGTAAATTCCTATACAGAGATATAATACATTAATATATATCGTGTTTTCCTTATGAGAATGTATCAAAGGAGAGAAAATATTCATCAGTAATACATTACAACTAGTTAAATGCTATTGTAGATTTTGTTTTCATTATCAACATATCAGTCAACCTGAATAAGGGATAACTATATACATTTAAGAGTACAAAAATAGTTACCTTTACCGCTCTCTGTAATAAGTGACAGTTTACAAATATAATATAATGTCAATATTTACAATTTGCAAATCTTAACTCCTAAGTACTATGATTTGTCCAAGTACATTAGTTAGCATGTTAATTTTTTATTATTGGTCTCCATATGTAAGATATAGGTAAGGTACCAACTTAAAGTGTGCATGAATCATCCCTTTATAACCTTTTTCTGGTACTCTTCAGGGGTAAATCAAAGACTTTTCAAATGGAGGGGCGTAATTGAAGACAGCCGATTGTATATTTCAGATTGGATCAAGACAAAGTTTTTGGATGATATTATGCCAAAACATTAATTTTTTTCTGAACAAAGGGGTATGCCCTCTACCCACCGCCCCCAATCACTACTACCCTTTAGACCAAAAGTTAAGGAAGCGAAATGAAAAAAATGATATATTAAAACCAACTTTGAATGTCAATTCCTTTTATGACATTAAAAAAATGAGTTTTCATTTTCCTCTTTAACTTGAAAATCTTGACAAAGATTGAAATAACAAGACAATGAAACTGACTAACCTTCCATGCACTAATGGCCCCTTTACGTTGACTAGCTTTTGTTTTATTGGAAGTTTTGATGACCATTAAGCCTCTTGTTTCTGACACTTTGCCTTTGCCTTCACCTAGATCACAGTCTTCAGTATCAGTTAATTTAATGGAATACTCTTGTTGAAATTTCAGTAGCTGTTTCCTAGTAAATGACCTCTCTAGAACCACAACAATTTTAGCCCACTGAAAATATACATAAAATAGTTCAATATGAGCATTACTGACAAAACCAGATCATTAAAGGTTGCAAATTTACAAATTTCAATTTTCATATCAACTTAATGTTATGATAAGAAGGAAAAAATAAAAAGAATAGGCAACAAATCTTCTTTAACAACAATGAGAAATTAACAGAAAAAGATGAGATTTTCCAGCTTAGAGCATTTTTAAGTGTATTTCACAAACTGATAATTCACTTTTCATAATATACTTATGAATCATACAATATTTGAAAATGACCCTTGCAATGAATGATTCAATAAATGTTTGCAAATTCCAAAATAAACCCTGCAATAAATGATCCATTTTTTTAGTTGCTTCCCTTGGGACAGACATAAGTGTTCATTGACAATAAAGAACTAGCAGATATATCAAATTTATCTGTGTGTAATCTTTAAGTTTTTCAAATATTTTTATTCCATTTAATCTTTTGTAAAGCTAAATACTTTTATCAAAAATTCGTAAGGGTTCCGCGGAACCCAGTGTCTCGCCTACTTTTGCTGTTAATCGCAGGCTCAACAAAGATGAGGAAAAAAATTAATAAAAATATTCCTCTCTATATTATCTTTTGATTGTAAGTAGCTTCTGTCCAAGTTTGGCAAAAATCCAGGATAGTTTATGAATCTAATAAATGTTTTAAAAACTTAAACTGCAGACTGTATGTAATGTTAACTGGAAGAAAACTAAGTCCATTTATTAATAAGTAAAATACGGAAAAAATGGAACAAAATTTCCTTCTAGATATTAGCTTTTAATCATAAACAAGCTTCTGTCCAAGTTTGGTAGAAATCCAGGATAGTTTAAGAAAGTTGTTAAAATTTTAAAAACTTTAACCACAGAGTGAATGTAATGTTAACTGGCAGAAAAACTAAATCCATTTATAAGTAAAATACGGAAAAAATGGATTTTTTTTTTTACAAAATTTACTTCATGATACTATCTTATGATCATAAACAAGCTTCTTTCCAAGTTTGGTAGAAATCCAGGATAGTTTAAGAAAGTTATTAAAATTTCAAAAACTTAAACCAGAGTGAATGTAATGTTTCCTGGCAGAAAAACTAAGTCCATTTATAAGTAAACTACGGAAAAAATGGATTTTTTTTTTTTTTACAAAATTTACTTTTGAATATTATCTTATGATCATAAACAAGCTTCTGTCCAAGTTTGGTAGAAATCCAGGATAGTTTAAGAAAGTTATTAAAATTTCAAAAACTTACACCACAGAGTGAATATTTGTGGACGGCGCCGACGGAATGTAGGATCGCTATATCTCACTTTTTCGACAAAAGTCGAAGACTCGACAAAAATTTATAACTAGAGGCTCTCAAGAGCCTGTGTCGCTCACCTGACTCTACTTTGGTTTTAGAAATCATGTAAAGATAGATAAAAATCATAACAGATACCCAAATAATGATTGAGGCCAAATTTTGATTAATATTGGTCCCGTTATTTAATAAAATATCCTGGTGGCCATCTTGAACAGTAAATCGGCAACAAAGTAGCAACACTTGGTCAGTACTTCATAAGGAACATTCATGCCATGTTTGGTTTCATTCCATTCAGTGGTACTCTAAAAGAAGACATTTGTATGTATTTCCCATAGGGTACTGTTAAACTAAGCCCCCCCCCCCCTAGCGGCCATCTTGGATGATGGATCGACTGCAAAGTAACAACACTTGGTCAGCAACTCATAAGGAACAGTCATGCCATGTTTGGTTCAATTCCATTCAGTGGTTATCTAAAAGAAGACAATTGTATGTATTTCCCATAGGGTCCTATGTTAAACTAAGTCCCCCGCTGTCGGCCATCTTGAATGATGGATCGGCTACAAAGTAACAACACTTGGTCAGCATCTCATAAGGAAGATTCATGCCATGTTTGGTTTCATTCCATTCAGTGGTTCTCTAAAAGATGACATTTGTATGTATTTCCCATAGGTCCTTTGTTAAACTAAGTCCCCTGCTGTCGGCCATCTTGGATGATGGACCGACTGCAAAGTAACAACACTTGGTCAGTACCTCATAAGGAACATTCATGCCATGTTTGGTTTCATTCCATTCAGTGGTTCGCTAAAAGAAGACATTTGTATGTATTTCACATAGGTCCTTTGTTAAACTAAGTCCCCTGCTGTTGGCCATCTTGGATGATGGACCGACTGCAAAGTAACAACACTTGGTCAGCACCTCATAAGGAACATTCATGCCATGTTTGGTTTCATTCCATTCAGTGGTTCTCTAAAAGAAGACATTTGTATGTATTTCCCATAGGATCCTATGTTAAACTAAGTCCCCTGCTGTCGGCCATCTTGGATGATGGATCGGCTACAAAGTAACAACACTTGGTCAGAACCTCATAAGGGACATTCATGCCATGTTTGGTTTCATTCCATTCAGTGGTTCTCTAAAAGAAGACATTTGTATGTATTTCCCATAGGGTCCTATGTTAAACTAAGTCCCCTGCTGGCGGCCATTTTGGATGATGGACTGACTGCAAAGTAACAACACTTGGTCAGCATCTCATAAGGAACATTCATGCCATGTTTGGTTCCATTCCATTCAGTGGTTCTCTAAAAGAAGACATTTTTATGTATTTCCCATAGGGTCCTATGTTAAACTAAGTCCCCCGCTGGCGGCCATCTTGGATGATGGATCGGCTACAAAGTAACAACACTTGGTCAGCACCTCATAAGGAACATTCATGCCATGTTTGGTTTCATTCCATTCAGTGGTTCTCTAAAAGAAGACATTTGTATGTATTTCCCATAGGGTCCTATGTTAAACTAAGTTCCCCGATGGCGGCCATCTTGGATGATGGATCGGCTACAAAGTAACAACACATGGTCAGCACCTCATAAGGAACATTTATGCCATGTTTGGTTTCATTCCATTCAGTGGTTCTCTAAAAGAAGTCATTTGTATGCATTTCCCATAGGGTCCTATGTTAAACTAAGTCCCCCGCTGGCGGCCATCTTGGATGATGGATCGGCTACAAAGTAACAACACTTGGTCAGCACCTCATAAGGAACATTCATGCCATGTTTGGTTTCATTCCATTCAGTGGTTCTCTAAAAGAAGTCATTTGTATGCATTTCCCATAGGGTCCTATGTTAAACTAAGTCCCCCACTGGCGGCCATCTTGGATGATGGATCGACTACAAAGTAACAACACTTGGTCAGCACCTCATAAGGAACATTCATGCCATGTTTGGTTTCATTCCATTCAGTGGTTCTCTAAAAGAAGTCATTTGTATGCATTTCCCATAGGGTCCTATGTTAAACTAAGTCCCCCGCTGGCGGCCATCTTGGATGATGGATCGGCTACAAAGTAACAACACTTGGTCAGCACCTCATAAGGAACATTCATGCCATGTTTGGTTTCATTCCATTCAGTGGTTCTCTAGAAGAAGTTCAAAATGTAAAAAGTTAACGCCGACGACGGACGACGCCGGACGACGGACGCCAAGTGATGAGAAAAGCTCACTTGGCCCTTCGGGCCAGGTGAGCTAAAAATTGCTATTTATCACCTTAACTTACTATAGCCTATTTTGACTGGTATACTGGTCTAGAACCAGTTTACAATTGACAAAGGGAGACAACTTGCTTTAAAAGTGTGTAGTAACAGAATCAAATCAGATATTGGCAAATGGACTATTAAATGAAACAAAAAAATTATAAAACAAAGACCAAATCCTGACTATATACAAGAACCTACCTGTTTTCTCCACTCTTTCTCTGATTTATTTATAACTTGTGTATAAGTATTGCCCATCATAGCTATCAGCATGTTTAACAACAGTATAGGTACTAATATCATAAAAACAGCAAATACCACTTTCGTCAAACCTGGATACTTTGTATAGTTAAAATCTTGATACTGAAATAATACAAACATGTAAAATTTATTTTCTGCTACCAAATTTGTTCCAACATTCTTATTTTAAAACAGAAGTGTGTTTTCATCTTCAACTTCATTTTTCATTGTCATCACCAAATAACATTTATTTTTTTCATGATTAACTAGTCTATAAATCTTCTACTGTACTTTAAATTGTTAACAATTACTGTGTAAGTATATTCACTAGATGCATTGGTTCCCCATTAGGGATAACCCTATATTCACTGGTATTCACTAGTCTTGCATACTGTTTTAAAATGTAATTCTAGGGTTTCAACTCACATACACAAGAAAGGTTTAAAACTTCATCTGACATATCACTAGTAGGTAAAAGATTAACTATTAACAAATTTAAATAATAAACAAAATAGGAAATATCACAATGATTTTTCATGGTTATAAAAGGCAATGTAATTTAACAATAGAAATAAGCTGTCTATACATTTTCCATGAAATGGAATGTTTACTAAAATATGTTCTTCAATATCTTGACAGTTCTAATATGAAACAAAACTTGATGCAATGACCTGACTTACAATTGGATCTCAGATGATGAGCATTAGAGATGCATCAAATACACTCTAAAACAATGTAGAACTATAGAATATTTGGTTTTCAGTAATATGGATACCAAGCTTTATAAATTAGAAACAATAACAACAAGAATACAACTATTATTTGTACATTACTCAAGCAAACAAAATATTTTTAATAGATTCCCTCTACTGCTAATGTAAAATAAACACAGTTCCTTAACATTAAAATGTTCAGGAATTCAGATAGAATTTTTTTCAATCACTCTAAGTATGTTAAACTGCATCACAGCATATCCTGCTTCATAGCCATCTTAAGATTTCTATTGGGAATGAGCTATTGCTCATTGTTGAATGCCATACTTGACCTATAGTTGTTTACATCATATATATATATATATATGCCTTACTGTTGAAAACCATACAGTAACATGTAGATATTAATTTTCCTTTTAAAATTTTTGAGATATCAAGCTAGCTACGAGAACATTTCAGAAAAGAAATCTACCCAGAATACATTAAATTTTACACTTATTTAACTGGTCCATTTTGAAAACTGCAGGCCTCTTGTCAACAGCTGATCTGTTATTTGTTTTCTATGGACAAAGGTTTTCCCTTCCTGAGTAAGACATATCACTTTGTCTACAGTTTTTGACCCTCTTTTTAAACCTTTTGAATGTTGGAAATGAGATATAGAAAGAATCAAACAATGGCAAGAATACAAGACTCTAGAATCTCTGACTATAAGACTCTAAATTCTCCAACACCCTGGGTAGGAATTCCTATCATCTAGGACTTTGACAAGTCACTTCAGAAACTGTAAATCTTATCCTCAGGTGTCTTGAGATTTCCTTGTTTCTCTCTATCCTGTGTTCGATTCTTAACATCCATCTTTATCCCATGAACCTAATTAACTACTCATACCATTTCTAAGGATTTTTTTCAATCTATTTTTATTTCTGAAGACTTTTTATATCTACCATTGTCTAACATCTAAAGCATCAATAATAAAACAGCAAATAACAACTTTACTTATTTCGCTCTTTAAAGAAAGCATATAGATAAAAAGTAGTAAAAACAATTTATATTTTACAGTTAAACTATAAAGATTACTTACCAATCTAAAAATATTTCTAAGCACATGTAACAATGGGTAACATACACAAATACATTAAACAATACAAAAAGTGAGAAAAAAAATCTAAAATGTGCTAAAAGAACTACATATGATATTCAAAGATACCTGAGAAGTATTTCTCCTGCTTAACTATAGCATGCATGTGTAAAGAAACATAGGTATCAAACATTGGTATAAAGTGTTGGTTTCATGTGAAAGGGTAACAATCGGGACATTTTTTACAAAGACAAAGACAATGTCATGCAAACAAGTTTATATTGAATAGTGTTTTTTGGAAGTGAAGATTAATGCTGACGGTAATGCAACCTTAAAAAAAACAAAGTTACAAATTGCTCTGGCAGACAGAAGTTTTTGAGGGTCCTCTTTACACAAAAGGTGAACAAAACAGGATGAAGCATTTTCAGCATCATGCCTAAGCCAAAGATACATGCTAAAGTTGCATTCCCATGATTTTTTATTTGTATGAATTGATTTCATGACATAACATTTCTATTCCATCCACTAGTATAAATCTTAAATGCTATTAAGTCATGTCCTTATAAATTTTGTCTCATCAGTAATTTGTTTTCTGAATCAATAATTTTTGTCACTTTTAAATAATATATTTGCAAGATCTGCTTGAAACTAAACATTTATTCCTGAAAATAATGTTAAGAGTACTTCTTATCAAAAATATTTCTTTTATTGTAGAGGTTATATTTGATGATATTTTTCCACAATGACAGCACACAGAACAATTACAAACATTGTAATGTATTTGCATGCAATAAACAAAGTCATTCACATGAATCAGTATGCTGTTTTCACATGCAATCAAGTTACTTTGGAATGTCATGCAGAACAGGTACTGTGCACCATAAAACACATGGTCTCCTTAGTTTGTTCACTTTGTTCTCTCTATTTCACATACTATTCTATTTGTTTAATTGGCTTTAATATGTCAATTCAAAGACATGATATAGTTATAATAAAGATTTGATTAATTTGTGTCAATATTTGCTTATTTGTAGTTTCCTAAAAATAAATCTGTCAGGAAGTTCGTTCACCATAACTTATTATTAGAATCAATATAAAGGAGGGTCCCAAAAATGGTGATTGAAATTTTTTGCCCACTTCACACTTTCCCTCCTCCCCTCTGTTTTTCCCAGAGCCCACTTTTAAACCACTATATTCCACATCCCCACTATTTTACCCCTTATATCCCACATCCAAAAATATGTGTCATCCTCCTCAAAGATCATTCAACTCCATTATATATGTGACATGTTTTAGAATGTTGAGTCTAATTCATGTTGCTCTTACAATAGACAACATGTGATAAAGTATAGATAAATTGAATAATCTTGAATTTTTATTGACTGTTTGGGTTTAACACCACTTTTGGCTATATCATGGTAGTCATTTTTTATTGGTGCAGCAAGCTGGAGTGCAAGGAGAAAACCATTGACCTCCGGAATTTTCACCCTTTTTTTTTGTTTCTGCAAACCATTGCAGTTTGGCATATCTCTTTTTGGAACTTACTTCTTGTCATTGACACTCTCATTGTCTGTCAAGCCCAACCCATGCATGTGTTTAAGATTTGAAGTAAAGGGATGGTAATGACTTTCTAAAACTTGTTCCCCTGTTACATGGTAATAACATCCACATTTTTTATTTCTTTACTCTACTTCTTTGCCCAAGATTATCCCAGCAAACAGTTGTAGTGGCAATGAATAGTAGTAGGACAGTGAACAATCCTTAACCCCTGCCCTTCGTAAACTATCTGGTCAAAATTCAAATTTGCTTCACGTTTTTTCTCTTTGTCAACTTTTTTTAAAAGGAGTCCTTACATGCTTCATGCTTGGTTATAGTGAAGGAAAATACAAGATGTGACATTGGTAATCAATAATTACTTATATGAGGTTGTTATTAGTATGTTATATGATGGTTTTCAGTAAAAATATACCATACAGGGAGTGTGTATATCATGATAAATATAGGGTTGTAGTACTGACCTTGAATTCGCCCAAGGTCATCTGAAACAAAGTCATGATGGTATCTCCTATAGTGAGAAATCCTTGAGATTGATTATCTGTTGACCCTTGGAACAGGAAATAAAAAGCTGAAAAACATCAAAACATAAATTAATGTAAACGCAATAAACGAACTGAATTTTCAGTTCATATTGTTTATACACAATTGAATATTAAATTGATAAATGAATTTAAAGACTGTCTCCTGTCCTTTAGATGCCTTTTGGTTATTAGTGTTGTTGGGTTGCTGTATCATTGAAATATACTCCCCATATCTTTTTTATTTCTTATCAATGCTATTCATTTTCTATGTGCTAAGGTTTAGGAAATTAAATTCCACTGAAATACTGTTTGAAAGTTTTCAAAATATTATACTACTTGAAATACTTCCTGTGTTTTACTTTGTCTCTTTTGTAGTTTACTCAAAAACAAGCACACAGACTTATCTTTCTTTTAAGACAATTTTGGTGTATTATAAAAATGAAGCAATTCATGCATTTGAATTTCAGCAATAAACAACCTTAAAGTATTGTTTTAATTAATTAACAAGAATAAGACACAATGCCCCACTTGCACTATCACATTTCCATGTTAAATTCATCGTACAATTCGTTCTACTCCTTATTTAACATGTTTAGCATATCTTATTAAAAGTTCACATCTTAACAATACTGTATACTAAGTTTGAAGTTGATGTGACCACAACATCATGGTCAACTACTTTAAACCAAAACTTTAAACCCATACAGGACAGACGCATTGAAAAACATAATGCCCTTTTACTATGGTATGTTGGAATAAAATTCTAATATAAACTTAGAATCCATTTTTTTTTAGCATTTTCATGATATGAAATTCCGCTGCTGCAATATTGGATTTTTATTAAAGGCAATTTACTTTGAAATGAACATTAATTCACTGGTCAAATGAAATCCATCTGGTCAATTCATATACAAAATTGTTTCAACCTATAACCAATAATTTTAAAGCTACTTTATCCAAAAACTTAGTTAACCTCTTATATCATTTTTTTTCTATGACAATATATATCCAATATTAGGTCAATGTAAGAAAAATATCAACTTTTTTGTATGAGGTTTAGAAATTAACGGTAGGGTAGGGTAAGTTTCACCGAGCCCTTAAACAGTTTCGTGTTTAATACAAAAAAGTTGATATTTTTCTGGCATTGACCTAATATTGTTTTTATACTGGAGCTAAAAATTGCTACAATTATGTTATGAAATGTTAACACATCCTTAATAAACCCCAGATTTGGAAGAAAAGTGATATGACATGAAATCTACATTGCACGAATCATCTCTTTGTTACTATATTCAGTAGATACAGATAACAGGAAGTGTTCTTGCTGCTGTATGAAACATTTTAATCAGTGTACATCCTACCTTGTGTAAATCCAGCTAAAAATATCACATATATAACACCAAATCTAACTAGGTCTCCCATACACATTTTATAGATCATAGATACGAATGGTCCTGTCAGCTTGACACTTCTGTAAACATTCAAATCATTGTTATATAGTGCATGGTTCAAACAGTGAGGTTACTCTGAGCATGGTAAGGGTGTAATTGTTAATATCAATTTATTCTGCATGAAAGATTTTCTAGCTGTATAGATGCGCTTAATAATATAGAAGAAAATACATTGACTCTGTGGCCGAGAAGATTGATCTTAGTTACATGTAGTACACTAAATATAAATCAACCTACATTTGAGAAATATTCACTGATTAAGTTGATGCTAACTAAATAAAGAATAATATGGGAGAAAAAGGCTGCATCTATAAATTCAATGGCTACATCTTAAAATCTATGCTTTAGTCCCTTTCATCTTTTATTTTGAAATTTTTTACTGATACTTTGAGCATCATCTTCAACTCAATGTCTAAAATAAAAAAATAACTGCTAGTGGGATTTTGTTGTTGTTTTTTTTTTTTAAAGTAAAATGTAATTCTAATTGAAGTAAACATAAATGGAACACATATTTGACTGATTTAATAAGTATGGAACACATATGTGACTGATTTAATACGGTATGGAACACATATGTGACTGATTTAATATGGTATGGAACACATATGTGACTGACTTAATACGGTGTGGAACACATGTTACTGATTTAATACTGTATGTGACTGACTTAATACGGTATGGAACACATATGTGACTGATTCAATACTGTATGTGACTGACTTAATACGATATGGAACACATATGTGACTGATTTAATACTGTATGGAACACATATGTGACTGACTTAATACGGTATGGAACACATATGTGACTGATTTAATACTGTATGGAACACATATGTGACTGACTTAATACGGTATGGAACACATATGTGACTGATTTAATACTGTATGGAACACATATGTGACTGACTTAATACGGTATGGAACACATATGTGACTGATTTAATACTGTATGGAACACATATGTGACTGACTTAATACTGTATGGAACACATATGTGACTGATTTAATACGGTATGGAACACATATGTGACTGATTTAATACTGTATGGAACACATATGTGACTGACTTAATACGGTATGGAACACATATGTGACTGATTTAATATGGTATGGAACTTTTTTTTTCTTGAAATATGTAAGAAAATTGACTATCAAAATTTAAAAAAAAAAAAAAAAAATTTCATTCTTTTATTGGCATGATGATTTTAATTCTGCAATAACAATCCTGAAAAAATGTAACCAAACAATTACTTTAGCTTATTCATCAGTAATTTTGTTTGAAAAATAATTTACAATATAAACACAATATAACAGTTTTATGGGCACAATGTGGTAAAGTCTGGTTCGACAAAGAACTCTGTCAAAAACTGGTACCCTATTATTTATTTTATACTGGTTACATAATAAATGACTATAGTGTAAAGCACAAGCTTCTCCACTCCATTATCAGCTCTGATTATAACATGTAAACCTTTCATGCATAATAATTAAAACTATTATAGACATACAATATAATCTTGCATAACAAGTGACCACACCAAATAAATTAACCTTTGGCAATTTGTTTGATGAACTTGATCATAAGTGGTTTCTTGATTCACACAGACTGACAGTAAATTTTTGGAGCAATTGTCTTGTATTGTTTAATACTGGAAATTTGTAGTTTTTGTTTTTAAAAGCAATTCTTGAAAAATAAGTGGAGGTCATGGTCAATCCTCACACATTAGATAAACAAGTGGACCCTGCAGCAAGACAGTGTCTGAAAATGTCCATGACACTATCTTGCTGTAGGTCCACAGTTAAAAACATGCAGCATTATTTCTGTTAAAATGTTCAAAAACCCTTAAGGAAACTTTACATATATATGTATCATTTGCAAAAGGTAGGATCAAAATCAAAGGTAATTCTATTTATTATTTGAACACATATCCAATGTTTTTGTTCTCTTTAATTGGTGTGGAACTAATCAAAAGGTCCTTTGTTGGAGCTAAGGAAATGGATGTACCTGTACAAGTAAAATATTATGGATCCACCACTTGAATCATATGACAGAAACAGTCCCAATTTTGTTTACATTCTATTGTAAGAGGATATAAACACATGTTCATCTACATAATCACATTAGGTTATAAACTATCTGGTGTGTTTTACACTTTAATGTGCGGCAATATTAGATCACACGCTTGGAGGATTAAAAAATCATGAATATTAAATATGCCATGCAATCTTCACACAAATACCTGATGAAAATTGGGCAATGAATATAGCAAATATGATGCTAAATTTGAGAAAATCTGTTCTGAGCATGAGATACATCATTACAACCATAGCTCCTGTCCCTGGGTAACCTCTACAATTTATAAATATTATTCCTCTCAGAACTCTATTCAGTACTTTAAAAACAACTTACTATGGAAAACTATTGAGTTTTAATGCTCGAAACATGCAATTTAAATATAAAAGCTTTCCATAAAATTTGGCTGCTTACATGCATTTCAATCATTTATTAAGTTTTTCAAGATCATAAGTTTTTTTTTGTCCCATTCATTACACAACCAATAAAGTACTGCACATGTTTAAATTATCTGTTTTTATAACAATCATTAAAAACTTGTGTGTCAAAAAAAACAAAAACAGATTATATTTTTTAAATACAATTCTTTGTTTCAGTGCCTGGAAGGTAGAGTTTTTATGTTTTTTACCATCTCTGTAAAAGACCTGAATGGTTTTCAAATTGAAAATGAAAATATTTCTTTTGAATTCCACATTTAAAATACAAAAATTGGTAAATTTTGACAAATATTGCAAAATAACATGTTTTTTTTAAATCTCAGTGAGATAATTCATAAATCTGCAAGAATAGCTAGCCTAAATAATGGCATTTACCAGTATTAGTCCAAAAATTAAGATGTTTTCAAGAGTTTATAAATTTTTACAATGTCCCTAATGTGGATGGTCATAATTTTTATAAAGGCAAACTGTTAAGAGCTAGCTAGTTTTAATGATTTTCAAATTGCCTATCATCATTCAGAACCAATTAAAATGTCAATATTTCACTGTTCTAACACAAAAATGAAAATCTACTACATTATTATCTAAATGTCAAAAGTTTTATCAAGAATGTTATTAAGCTGCTAAAATGCTTTGAAGTATATTTTTAGATTTTCACAAAAAATACTGGTTTTTTAATTTTAAAATGACAAACTGCATTTAACCTGTATTAATAACACAACATCTGTTCTACCTTATTCTAATAAACATTTTATTACCTTGCAAAAAAGAGAAGAAATGACCAAGCCGTTGGAGTTGCTACAATTAGCAGTATATCTTCTACATATCGTAACCTCAGAAAGCGGAATGGTATACACGCCAACAGCAGAACACATGACAATAAATATAATGAAAGAGCTGGAGCATGTCTCTGTAATACAAAATGTTACATAATTAGAACACATGACAGTATATAAAATGAAAGAGCTGGAGCATGTCTCTGTAATACAAAATGTTACATAATAAAAACACATGACACTAAATATAATGTAAGAGCTGGAGCATGTCTCTGTAATACAAAATGTTACATAATTAGAACACATGACAAAAAATATAATGCAAGAGCTGAAGCATGTCTCTGTAATACAAAATGTTACAGAATTAGAACACATGACAATAAATATAATATAAGAGCTGGAGCATGTCTCTGTAATACAAAATGTTACAGAATTAGAACACATGACAATAAATATAATGTAAGAGATGGAGCATTTCTCTGTTATACAAAATGTTACATAATTAGAACACATGACAATAAATATAATGTAAGAGCTGGAGCATGTCTCTGTAATACAAAATGTTACAGAATTAGAACACATGACAATAAATATAATGTAAGAGCTGGAGCATGTCTCTGTAAAATAAAATGTTACAGAATTAGAACACATGACAATAAATATAATGTAAGAGCTGGAGCATGTCTCTGTGATACAAAATGTTACAGAATTAGAACACATGACAGCATGTCTCTGTAATACAAAATGTTACATAATTAGAACACATAATATATATTATGTAAGAGCTGGAGCATGTCTCTGTAATACAAAATGTTACACAATTAGAACACATGACAATAAATATAATGTAAGAGCTGGAGCATGTCTCTGTAAAATAAAATGTTACAGAATTAGAACACATGACAATAAATATAATGTAAGAGCTGGAGCATGTCTCTGTGATACAAAATGTTACAGAATTAGAACACATGACAGCATGTCTCTGTAATACAAAATGTTACATAATTAGAACACATAATATATATTATGTAAGAGCTGGAGCATGTCTCTGTAATACAAAATGTTACATAATTAGAACACATGACAATAAATATAATGTAAGAGCTGGAGCATGTCTCTGTAATACAAAATTAAGACTAATGTTGAAAACCTTTAAATGAATTTTTACTGCAATGTGAAAATTATTAAAAAAAAATCCTAAGGCAAGAGGTAATATATATATTGATGCTTCTTTTGCCAAATAAAATTACTTCTCTTGTTCAATGATTCAACCCCAATAGGAATAAGCTGCTCCCACCTGAGGGCAAAGGAAGATAAGAAATTTGGATATATAGAATAAAGGACTTTTTGTTTTTGATACTGACGTTATCACAGTAAAATATCCTCTCCTGATATTTTACAGTGATAAAGCCAGTTTCAAAAACAAAAAGTCCATTATACTTTTTATTGGTAATTATGAAAAAAAGAAAATCACTACAATAATAGAGAATATAAAAATACGAGCTACTTTATCACGTTGAATCACTCTTTACGTCACAGGCTGCATTTGAAATTTTGTCACAGTGCAGTAAACAAGGCGTTCTCTTGCACAAAGTATTGAAAATGAATTATTGCATGCGTTTAATTAATTCTGCTTTGAACATGACTTTAACAATGCAGAATATAATGGTAACATACAGGTCAGTCAAATTTCTTTATTTTTCACAAAGCAAAGTATGATATGATATGAATAGCAGATTTGTCATTGTTTTAGAAATTCAAGTTAAATCTTTTACTTAGTTGGATAGATAATTTGCTTAAAAATTACATTTAGCTTGTCGTTATATACTCAGCATTCATCCTGAAAACAATTACATTGATTTTGGAGGAAGCACTGTGTAAACAGACATTTATTTACAGGCATTATAAAGGCTACATTTATGGTTAATGAAAGACTTTTTACCTGTTCCACACCAAACGTTGTCTAGTTTGGGGCCCCAAAAAAATATCATAAGGACCTATTAGCTACGATTCCGCAGCTATAGTAAGGAAAGCTACCAATAATACTGCAGATAATGCAAATTTTTCAAGTTTATCGGGTTTTTCATACATTTTCTGTTCAAATTTTAACACAATCGTTCGAAAAAAGCTAAACTAACTTTACTGAAAGTTTCAAACAATGAAAAGTAAAACACCAAAAAAAGCGTGCATTTCTGTGAAAAAAAATCAAATGAATGAAAGGGAAAGTAGATTCATATGTGGTGCACTCGCGTATGTCAATTGCAAACTGACCCAATAATTTTTTTATCACGACCAGTCCACTGATACTGACATCATCAGCGAGGACACACCAAAGGAAAAATGCACAAACTACCGATAATGGTGTTTAACCTCCAGTGGCAAATATTCATTTATATCAGTACAAGAACATGCTAATGTGATATGAAAATGAACACTTCATTGTACTAGACCAAAATGCTGAGCAAGATTTTAAATGTGGTAGTTCACAAGATAACAGTCTATGGGAAAACAAGTCACCCCACTCAAACACATTTTTCTAACGTAGAGTTTATTTGTCTTATTCTTTAATGTTGTGTACTAAGTGGATAAGCAGCCAATTTCAAATTTCAAGTCCTAAGTATGATCGAGCCAGGAATTGAACCATAGGTCGACCTCTTGCATCCAGGGGGAGCATACTACTTTTCTACTTGTGACCATTGACCTACACATGTAAAGTCAAAAGAGTGTCCAGAACTGAAGTTGTAATAACTCTAAAACTATGATGTGCATGCTGTTGAAAGATACTTACACAATTATTTACAAAACTCCAGAATCCCTGAGCTCCTATTTCAAAGCAATCTACAACTAACGTTACTATACATCCTATAACAGTTAATATTTCAGCTACAAATCGAATCTGAAATAAAAAAACAAAAAATCTTTTGTGACAAGTAGTTATTAATAAAGATGTGAAATATTTTGTTACAAACTATAAATGTAATGATTATGTAAGACAGAACACATATCTAATCATCAACAAGTTACAAGAATACCACGCATGCTTAAAATCTCGTTCAATTTTCACACCTGTGCCTTTTCAACCACATAACTTTTATTTTGTCAGGATATAACAAATTCACATCTCAATGCAAGAATGTCATGGATGGCATTTTAAGATGCCATCATTAACTCAGACACTACAGGAATGATTTCAGAACAACGATCAGATTTCTTTCATTTTTAACCCTGATGTTCTTAGAAGGAACATAGCATTGTACAGGTTATTTAGAAATTGTGAAAGTATTACAAAAAAAATCATCACACAGTATATTTTTATATCTGATCTGTGATTGTGACAATATATTTTTATTTATTTAGAAATGATCAACGGTTTAATAAAGAAATGAATCTCCTTTAAATTGTAGAGTATGTGACAAAAAAAATCCAGGAAGCAAAAAAAAAAAAATAGTCTCTGAAACTGTTGAGTGGGGAATAACAATAAAAATACTTCCAATATCAGAGGAGTTATTGCTCATTGTTAAAAGTGGTACGGTGACCTATAGTTGTTAACTTCTATGTCATTTTAATAGTCTCTGGTGGAGAGTTGTCACATTGGCAATCATACCACATCTTATTTTTATATGTACAGCAAGTAGATAACAATATAAATACTTACAATATCAGAGGAACTATGTACGGCAAGTAGGTCATCTTCAGGAGGTCTGGTATATACAGATGTACTGATTAATGCAAGATGGAGGAAGGCTAACACCAATCGTATAAAGAATCGTTTCTGTAAAATATCAAATTGATCTTAGTATTTAATAGAGTACCAAAATGCAATTGTTGTTACATGTATCAAATAATTGTGGGAAATGAAATCAGATAATTTTCTATGAACAGATTTGGTCATCAAGTTATCAAAAAACCCTTCTGGATCATCAGAGGCATAAACAAAATCTGATATTTTTGCTTCTCTATTCAATGACAAATACTATTCATCAAAATTCAGAAATTAACTCACAGGAAAAAATGTGACAGGATATGAACATCATGATAATTAAAAACTGATATTCTGAATATTTAATTTTCTTAATTCTATTCTACTACACTATGCACAAAAATTTTGCATCATGACCATGCAAAATATATTTTCTGGTTATCAGATTCTACTGTGTCAGTAACAAATCTAGATTGTATTTATCATTTTTTTTTTAAAGAATATGTAAATAAAATGCTCCACTGGGCGCAGCTTGATACGACCGCAGAGGTCGAACCCTGAACAGTTGGGGCAAGTATGGACACAACATTCAAGCTTGATACAGCACTGAATTTGGATTGTGATTAAATATTTGACACAGCATAGGTTTCTGACACAGAATGAATGTGGTCAAAGAACTTAAGAACCTATTCAAACCATACCATTATTACTTGCTTTTATATATAAATCAGAAATAACCAATTTAAAATGGAAAATTTTAAAGAAAAAAAAATCCCCTCAAATTTTTTGAACCCCCTTATGATTCATCACCCCCAAACTCAATCCCAGCCTTCCCTTTGTGGTATGGAACCTTGCAGTACAATTTCAGAGAGATCCGTACACTTAACACAAGTTATTGTCTGGAAACTAGAAAAATGATTGTTTTTTTACCCCTTTTTGGCCCCAACTTCCTAAACGTTTATGGCAATTACCCCCAAACTCAAACCCAGCTTTCCCTTTGTGATATGGAACCTTGTAGTACAATTTCATAAAGATCCATACACTTACACACAAGTTATTGTCCTGAAACAAAAAAAATGCTTGTTTTTTTGCCCCTTTTGGCCCCTAATTCCTAAACTTTGGAGGCAATTACCCCCAAAATCAATCCCAGCCTTCCCTTTGTAGTATGGTACCTTGCAGTACAATTTCAGAGAGATCCATACAGTTGAACACAAGTTATTGTCTGGAAACTAGAAAAATGCTTATTTTTGGCCCCTTTTTGGCCCCTTATTCCTAAATGTTTCGGGCAATTACCCCCAAACTCAATTCCAGCTTTCCCTTTGTGATATGGAACCTTGTAGTACAATTTCAGAAAGATCCATACACTTACACACAAGTTTATGTCATGAAACTAGAAAAATGCTTGTTTTTTGCCCCTTTTTTGGCCCCTAATTCCTAAAATTTGGAGGCAATTGCCCCCAAAATCAACCCCAGCATTCCCTTTGTGATATGGAACCTTGTGGTACAATGTCAGAGAGATCCATACACTAACACACAAGTTATGTCTGGAAGTTACAAAAATGCTTATTTTTGGCCCCTTTTAGGCCCCTAATTCCTTAACTGTTGGTACCATAACCCCCAAAATCAATCCCAACCTTCCTTTTGTGGTATTGAACCTTATGGTAAAATTTCATAGAGATCCATTCACTTAAGCTAAAGTTAGAGTGCGAAAACCAATGTGTCTTCGGAAGACAACGACGCCAACGTCATACCAATATACGACCACAAAATTTTTTTGCGGTCGTATAAAAATCTGTGTTTGTATTCTACTGACTCCTGAATTGATAAAATTAACTAAACTTGAGGGTCTTGCATAGTCATTCATTGGTGGAATAAAAAAAACCTAATATATTCTCTATAATATATCCATGTAAATAAGTACACTAAACATGGACACCCACACTATTTGGTAGGTTTGTCATATGTTACTCAATCTTAAGTTTCAGTGTAATGTTTGATGCACTACTGTTTGTCTTCTGTCTTTTTCCTTTAGGCCAGAGTGTTGTCTTTCCTTCTGTGACTAGTAAGATTTTCTATTGCCTCCTTGGTAATCTTCATTTCTTTTTTTTTTTATACAGGAATATATACACTGGTTATGTCAACATTGATATAAATAAAAATATTAAACATAATCCATCCCTCAATTTTTTAGAAGTCATTATTTGATATTCTGAAAATTTATGTTACATGGCCTTACATATTAATCTCACAGTATTGTCTGTTGTTTTACATGGGTAAATATATAAAATAAACAGTCATAACTAAATAAGCACAATAAATTCTGAATATTCTTTTTGTATTGAAAATCAAGATTTTTTTTGGCATCATTTTGCTTGTTAAAATATACATGATTTTTACCAATACCATATAAGTATGTTTTATTTTGTATATTAATTATACCCTAGCAAAAGTTTTCCATTTTTCGTCCAGTAACTGCCTCATAACACCACCTTCTAACATCTCTAAATGTTCATCAGTTTCTCCATTGATAATTATCATTAAGGCAGAATTAAAATCTGAAATGAAAAATTTTCAATGTTTTAATTTCATTCACAAAATGCATACATTATCCTTAAGTTTCAATTGAAAGATCCAAGAATATGAAGATAAAATTTTAGTCAATTAAAAAGTAAATTATTAATAAACTACTATATCATGTATATTATCATTTTATATTACAAATGATATAAAAAGAAATTCCTCTGCCAATATAGACTGGTGATAAATATCCAGAAAAAGAAAGAATTTAACATCTTACATGGAGAATTGTTTGATGCACTTTTCTGGATGAACCTTCATTAGAAACCCTCAGAGTTAAAAGTTTGGAAGAAACAGATTTCACAATAGTCAATCCAAATGTACATTTTTTGTTGTAAAAAAAAACCCCAAGAAAAATATAAACATGTTTCACCCTGCCACATTCTGTATATGCCAGTCCCAAGTCAGGAGCCTGTAACTCAGTGGTTATAGTTTGTTTCTGTATTTCATATTTGTTTTTCATTTTTAAGTTTTGTACATAAATCAGGCCGTTAGAATTGTTAAACATTTGTCATTTCAGGGCCTTTTAAGGCTGACTAGGCAATATGGGTTTTGCTCAATGTTGAAGGCTGTATGGTGACCTATAGTTGTTAGCTTCTATGTCATTTGGTCTCTGGTGGATAGTTGTCTCATTGGCAATCATTTCTTCTTTCTCTTTGAAATCAAAGCAATGTTCTAATTCCAAAAAAACATGAGAGCACATGTACTTTGTCAACTTGAAGCGTCAATTGTATTTTAAACAAGGCTAGAGATCAAAATGGACATTTCTGTGGGAGTTACCTGCTATGAAATTCAATAAAATATTAAAAAAAGGGCCTTTTTGTATTAGTACACTTTAAACTGTGAAACTTTTGTTGTTGTTTTTTTTTTAAGTGTTTGCTTCATCAAATCTAAATGGTTGCATTTTGAACATGTCTTATATGTCTGATTTGATTGGAAATATTTCTAAATTTCCTAGTATAAATCCAAATAAATCTTTCATGATTAACTAATACAAAACAATTAAACATATTTTCTGATTTGTTTGCAATTCAAAATAAACAGAATCTTACAATTACTATCTTTTAGTATTCCAAATCTGTTTATAAAATAGCACCGCAGTTTTCATGGTGACAACAATTTGTTTGGAAATCAGATGTAGCAAGCCCTTCAAGGGTAATAATGATTATATACTGATAATATTACCATGATCATATTGAACAATGCTCAATTAAGATTTTGTCCTCAGATTATAATTTATGGGTCAACTGACAACAAAAATACAAAGGACAAATAAACTTAATGTGCTAAAAATTTCATTAAAATAAATAATTCAAAGAAACTGGCTTACATTTCAAAGAGGAACAAAATGCATGCTTGATCATAATCCATAATATAAATCAATCTAATTACTTCAGTATTTCAAGTATTCTAATAAAAAGATTCATATACTCGAGGGCCTTTTTTAAACCTATAAATAGGAAGGATGTTTTATTATGGTACTACAATTGTAATAAAACAGCAACAAAATTCATTTTATCTAAGAAGTAAAAATATTCTCATTTTCAGTGGAAAACAAAATAACTGGGGATAAAATGATATTAATGGTACTGAGAACAAAAAGGATATTCTGGAAAACTTCAAATTAATGGCAAATCAACTATTGGCAAGCATTTGTGAAAAGCGCTCATACTTTTACCTGTCCAATTTCCTGTTTGCAAATAATATTGACATTGATTAACATGTGGTACATTGTTTCTCTTTAAAAATAAACTGTTATCACAGAGATATGTCTCGCCGTTTTGTAATTTTGATAATGCAAATGTTGAAATTAAAAATAGCAATACTTTAACATGTAAGTTATGCAAATATTCAAAGTCGATGAACCATGACTGAAGGTACATGGCTAAACAATCTCCATGGAATGAGATGTGCTAATGCTAATACAACTGCATACCAAATACCATTGACTTATTATAAGTCGTTCCCTTTAAACAAACCTAAAAACAAACATTAAATTGTAAACTATGTAAAAGTTTCAAAGTCAATGAACCATGATCAGGGGTGGGGCTATATAATCTCCATGGAAACGACACTTGCAAATGCCAATACATTTGCATACCAAATATCATTGACTTAACATTTGCAGTTCATCTTAAACTGATCTAATCACAAACTAATACATGTAAACTAAGCAAAAGTTTCAAAGTAAATAGACCATGACTGAGGGGGCAGGGCCAAATACTCTCTATGGAAATGAGATGTGCTAATGCTTATACAACTGAACACCAATTAACATTGGCCTACCACTAATGGTTCCCCTTGAACTGACCTAATCACAAAGTAATACATGTTAACTTAGCAAAATTTTCAAAGTCTATAGACCATGACTAAGGTGGCGGAGCCAAATAATCTCCATGGAAATGAGATATGCCAATGCTTGTACAACTTCATACCAAATATCATTGACCTTCTACTAGTGGTTCCCCATAAACTGACCTAATCACAAACTAATACATGTAAACTATGAAAAGTTTCAAATTCAATAGACCACGACTGAGGGGACAGGGCCAAATAATCTCCATGGTAATGAGATGTGCCAATGCTAATACAATTGCATACCAAATATCATTGGCCTACCACTAGTGGTTCACCATGAACTAGACCTAATCACAAACTAATACATTGTTGACGCCAACATCGCCGGAAACAGCATACCTATGTCTCGCTTTTTGACTCCGTCAAGGCGTGACAAAAACTGACTGGTCAAATAAAAATACCATTCACTAGCAAAACCTGAATATACATTATCTACTAGGCATTTGTTAAAACTCTCCATACTTTTACCTGTCCAATTTCCTGTTTGCAAATAATATTGACGATGATTAACATGTGGTACATTTTTTCTCTTTAAAAAAAAATTTACTAGTCAAACTAAAATACCATTCCCTAGCAAAACCTGAATACACATTATCTTTTTAGCTACTGAAAAAAATTCTTGTTTTTTAAGCCTAAATGGCAAACTTTTATTACTTTGAAAAAAGTCCATACTTTCCATGAAAAAAAAAGTTAAGTTATTGCTGTGATTCACCTGTGAATGACACTCAATGATTTGATTACTGCATTATTCACAATTTATTGCTGGGGTGTATGGTAAATTACAACTGATTCCTTGTATGTTAACTGATCAATTGGGTGCCAGTCAATAGCAATAAGCCCTTTCAGAAGTTATTTGAGTGTGTATCATAAGATGACTTTCACACGTGAATGCTATATTTTCCCTTTTCTAAAGAACATTGCCAGTACTGTATAGTTATGTGTAATATAACAAGTACCCTGTGAAATTCTTTGCTGAGCATTCTCCAAAGTATAATATTGTATGTGTATGCCATACAAGGTTGTATTTTATGTCAATTAATTGACCTTTCTTTACATACCAGGGTAGGTCTACATTAAAGCTACTCACTAGAATCTCCTGTAGGTCCTATAGAATCTATTGAGTGAAGAGGATAAACAGAGCAAGTTATATTGCTGTATCTCCAAAGTTCCTGAAACAAAATACAACATTATTATCTAATGATCACAGACAATATAGGATTAAGACAGTAATTTGTTTCCCTCTTGCCCTTTATTACTCATTTATCTATTTCAATCAGGTTTCATGGTAATAATTAGGTCAAAAGTATATCATAATTAGGTCAAAAGTAGGTCAAATTTAAGAAAGAATTACACCGAATTTTTACTCTAAACATTACAATTATCAACTAAATAATAATTCAATATCTGCAAATATGGCTGACAACAGAATTAAAATCTGTTTATTTATGAAATTTTCTGACTAAAAGGGCAATAATTATCTCAAAAGTAGGTCTACTAGAAAAAATTCACAATGGAGCAAAAATTGGATGCTTATTTATGAAATTTTCCCACCAAATAGGCAGTAATTATCTAAAAAGCAGGTCAACTTGAAATTAAAAAAAAAAGATTGCGTCACTGGGACACAGATGCCACCATTTTAAATATACTGCAAATTCAGCAATTTTTCGATTTATAAAGGGACATAACTCGAGAACATTAAAAATGATGCAATCCATATTCGAACTTGATCTGTGTTTGGTGGTAATAACATTGTGTATAAGTTTTTCAACAATTGGTTGAGGCAAACTAAAGTTAGAGTGTGTAAATAGCAAATTTTTCTTTATCAAGGGACATAACTCAATAACCTTGAAAGTGGTGCCACCAAAATTTGAATTTGATCTGTGTTTAGTGATAATAAGCATTGTGTATAAGTTTGATAACATTTGGTTGAGGCAAACTAAAGTTAGAGAATGAAAACTTATTTTGGGGCTTATGGTCGACAAAGGTTAAACTTAAGAATGTGAAGTATGTCCAGTGCACGGTGTTTTATCGATATTGTCAACATCGCAATGTCTACTTTATCGTGTCATCATTGTGTTTACATTGTATCCTATCTATATATATGTTCTGTACCTTTGTGTTTACATCGTTCACATTGTAGACATCATGATGTTGACAATATCATTTCAACATCGTGTTTATGTTGTATATATAGCGTCTATACTTTTCTGTTTACATCGTTCACATCGTATACATTGCGATGTTAACAATATCTTGTCAACATCGTGTTTATATTGTATATTGAGTCTATACCTTTGTGTTAACATCGTTCTCATCGTATACATCGTGATGTTGATAATATCATGTTCACATCGTCAACATGGTATAAATGGTGTGTACCAAGTCTATACTTTTGTATTTACATCATTCACAGTGTATACATCGTGATGTTGACAATATCGTGTCAACATCGTGTTTATGTTGTATATAGAGTCTATACTATTCTGTTCACATCGTTCACATCGTATACATCGTGAAGTTGACAATATCATGTTTACATCGTTCACATCGTTAACATCGTATTAATGTTGTGTAACAAGTCTATACCTTTGTGTTTCCATCCTTCACAACGAAAACATCGCAATGTTAACAATATCGTGTCAACATCATGTTTATGTTGTATATATAGTCTACACCTTTGTGTTCACATCGTTCACATCGCAATGTTAATAATATCGTGTTTATATTGTATACAAAGTCTATACCTTTGTGTTTACATCGTTCACATCGTATACATCGTGATGTTGACAATATCGTGTCAACATCGTGTTTACGTTGAACATGAAATCTACACCTTTCTGTTTACATCGTTCACAACGTATAAACCCTAAGCCGGGAATGTCATATTATATACTCTGTCTGAAACCCGAACTACACATATATTACTGATTATCCCTGCCTTTTTTTTAATCAATATCAGGTATTTGTTCAACATTCACCACGCAGTATATATATTCAGTACATGTTTATTATTTCTTAATATTTTGTGTAATTCTTTTAAATACAAGTTTTCCATCTTTTCAAATATTTCATTGATATTTTTCAATAAAGTTTTTAGATTTCATGTATACCGTTTGTATTTTCTATGTATGTTTTTAACAACAACAAATACTGAAAAAACAACTTGATATTTTCTGCATATGTAAATGATTTTGTAATTTGCTGTGAAAATAATTCTATCATATATGCAATAATTTGTGATAGCACTTTAAGACATTACTTAAGTATTGAATGTGTAAATAGCGTGGTTTAAAATTAAAAGCATATTATTGACGGATACACGCCATTTTTTTTCCTCTGAGAGCCTCTTACATTCTTTATGTGTTCTGCATAGCTTAAGACTACGTCACATAGTAACTTTTGCTATGATGACATTGTTGATGTTCCATTTTGGGGTACAAAAATACAGTATATACCCGGCAGTTTCCTGAATATAGACTGACATCTCCGTAGTGTTATCCAGTTACAAAAAAGATACACATTTGTAATCAATAATATATCGTTAATAAATTGTAATATATCGATGTAAATGATGTAAACATTTTATTACATTTCACACATTATAAATAATGTTAACACTATATCGTGCATAGGCTACAATGCAAACGATGTAAACACGATATTGATAATACATTGAATACATCGCTATGTTAACGATGTCAAAGACGTAAACAGTATATAAGAATTGTTACAATGTGAACGATATTGAAAATATATATCTTGTCAACATTGTTAATATCGCAATGTAAACGATGTAAACACTACATCATCACTACATCGCGATGTATACGATGTAAACGATGTAAACAGTATAAAACAGCTGTTACAATATAAAAGGTGTTGACACAATATAGTGTTAACATTGTTGATATCGCAATGTAAACGATGTAAACACAATATCTTTACAACATTGTATACATCACGATGTTTACAATGTAAACACGATATCGTGTTGACATTGTAAATATCGCGATGTCGACAATATTGTTTTAACATTGTGCACTGGACATGGATGAAGAATGTAGGACAGAAAGTCATAGGACAAAAAGTCACAGACAAAAAGTCACAGGACAAAAAGTCACAATTCAGTTTTATAGATTATTTTCTTTGAATAAGAAAACACTCATCTCAAAAACAGCATTTTTGTACTTTTCTTGAACTATTGTATAAATAAACCAACTTGCAATGATGCATAGCTACTGAGATGCTATGAGAGGTTCACTGAAATCATTCATTGCTTAAGAAGGCATTGTAGATTAAAAATAAAATGCTCCGCTGGGCGCAGCTTGATACGACCGCAGAGGTCGAACCCTGAACAGTTGGGGCAAGTATGGACACAACATTCAAGCCTGATACAGCTCTGAATTTGGATTGTGATTAAATATTTGACACAGCATAGGTTTCTGACACAGAATGAATGTGGTCTAAGAACTTAATTTTTTTTAATTTACCTATTATGGTCCAATATCCAAAATCTAAATACATGGTTAGATTCAGCATATCAAAGAATCCAAAGAATTCAATTTTTGATGAAATCAAACAAAGTTTAATTTTGGACCCTTTTGACCTCAATGTGGACCAATTTGATAACGGGGCCCACAAATAAAAAATCTAAATACATGGTTAGATTCAGCATATCAAAGAACCCCATTTATTCAATTTTTGTTGAAATCAAACAAAGTTTAATTTTGGACCCCAACTTGGACCAACTTGAAAACTGGGCCCATAATAAAAAATCTAAACACATGTTTAGATTCAGCATATCAAAGAACCCCACGAATTCAATTTTTGTTAAAATCAAACTAAGTTTAATTTTTGACCCTTTGGACCTTAATGTAGACCAATTTAAAAAACGGGACCAAAAATTAAAAATCTAAATACACGGTTAGATTTGGCATATCAAAGAACCCCAATAATTCAATTTTTGATGAAATCAAACAAAGTTTAATTTTGGACCCTTTTGACCTCAATATGAACCAATTTCACAGCGGGGCCCACAAATAAAAAATCTAAATACATGGTTAGATTCAGCATATCAAAGAACCCCATTTATTCAATTTTTCTTGAAATCAAACAAAATTTAATTTTGGACCCCAATTTGGACCAACTTGAAAACTGGGCCCAAATCAAAAATCTAAATACATGTTTAGATTGAGCATATCAAAGAACCCCATATATTCAATTTTTGTTAAAATCAAACTAAGTTTAATTTTGGACCCTTTGGACCTTAATGTAGACCAATTTGAAAACTGGACCCAAAATTAAAAATCTAAATACATGGTCAGATTCAGCATAACAAATAAATAAATGTGGTCAAAGATTTTACAAATCTAATGCGCCATACTGTGCCATTAAAGATTACTTCTTGAAATTTTTCAATATTTGAAATTGGAAAAAAAAATAATATTTGAAGAATAATTCTTTTTAATATCTGAAATCTGAAATGAGAAAAAATTGCCCCCTCACAATTTCTTTTTAACCCCCCCCCTCCCCCTCCTTTTTCCCCCCAAAAATTCTTTCCCTCAAGATATGGTCATAATCTCAATTCAAATTTCCAATGGAATTTGCAACCATAATTACCCATTTATATTTACCATAGTGCTAACTTAATCTATTTTATAATAGAATTTAAAATATGGTGCGTCAAATCTTTCATATGGATTTTTTTGTAAAAAAAAAAAGATGCAGCATGTGCAGATATTTTTACTGGTCTTCCTTTATAAATATGCATTTCTTTAAACATAATTTAAAACGTTGGATTTGGATTACCTCCCTTACACTGTTTTATGTCTTCATTGTTCATTAACCATTACTTTATACATAATTTATAAGCAGTGTAAGGGAGGTAATTCAAATGATGTATTTGATTTATCTCCCTTACACTGCTTAAATTATGTTTTGTACTAAAGTATTTGTCCATTAACCAGGACAACCTTGTTTTTCCCCCTTTTTTGCCCCTAATTCCTAAACGGTTTGAGCGATAACCCCCCAAAGCAAATCCTAACCATCCCTTTGTGGTATGGAAACTTGTGGTATAATTTCAGAGAGATCCATACACTGTTCCACAAGTTATTATCTGGAAACTAGAAAATGCTTATTTTTGGCCCCTTTTTGGCCCCTAATTCCTGAA